ACATTTCTACAGTAGGTTCGTACTAAACCTACATACCCATGATGTTATCATGTCGAACGCTGGTATTCTGACCTTAACCTTTTACCGCGGTACAACGCCCGTCAGTAAAGAAAACCACCATACGAAATCAGGAGTTTTACAGAGAAACCAATCTTCATATCGGTTTAAAAATAACTTTCTCTGAACAACGATATTTAAGCCTTCAAATATTACCGTTCCTATTCTACAGTTTTTGGGACATTCACACAGGCTTAACTCCGAACTAAAAAAAAATAGCTAGAAATGTGTATAAACGCTCACATTCAATAGAACGTATGATTCATACGGACCTTGTGTCGCACTTTGTGCGAATGGGTATGTGAATAGATAGCCACACGGACATTTGGGATTGAAGATGAACTTGTGTCACGTTCCCTACATGTGGACGTATGGATAAATAAATATTTTAAGACGTTTTTTATGTTTATACATTCTTTTTTTTATAGATACAAATATTTAAGTAAATGCTCTGCTTTATAATACACAGTATTAACAACATTTACCGGCATTGTGTAGATATGAATGTACGTGAGAAATTCATAGAAGATTGAAGTTTAAAAACAGTAAAATCGACCTTGCTAACCGAACGCTCCTCTGTGGCCCAATCGGTTAAGGCACGTCAGGCTATATGACGGTTCCGTATAGGGTACAGGTTCGATTCATGTCGGAGGACGAATATTTTCTATGACAATTTCTCGGACATTCAGGCCGGTAAATGTTGTTAATACTGTTTATTATTTAAAAAAAAAAGAGCATTTACTTAAATATTTGTATCTATAAAAAGAATGTATAAACATAAAAATGTCTTAAAATAATTGTTGGACTTTGTCCATTTCAAAAATATGTTGGATTGAAATAGAAAAATGTAACATTCTGTGCGTGTGGAGGTACGTGTAGTATAAGATTGATATAGGACAACTCCGCGGTGTAATAGTTAGCAAGCTTGTCTCGCTAAAAACAGTTACGACTGAATTGTGAGTTCGATCCTCACTGGATACCCCATACTTTCGGCCTTGTGCCACATCTAAGCTACGCTTAAAATCATTTTAGTGTGTAAATCACTGTCTTGAATGGTTTCTAACACATTACTAACCATCTCACATTTGCGTCTCTGTCCTTGGGCAGAGTGCACTCAGGGGTGACTGCGTCAAAGGACAGAGGTGCAACTGAGGAAAATTATACTGAGAGGTGCCCAGCCCTGACGAACAGCTACCCGGTGCCGCGCTCTCTCATTGCACCAGAGAGAGGGATCGGTGCTTGCACCGATGGCCAGCGCAACCGACGGTTGTGGGGGCTGCGGGCAATTTTTGTTCCTTGCCCGGGTGTACGCGCTCGGGGTCCCCAACTTAAAAAATGACCTTGTGTCACAACTCTTCTTATTGGGGAGACAGAGTAAATGCCTAGTATAAGATTGAAATGCACGTTGTGTAACGTACTCGGCGAGTGGTGTTGTGGCTCAATACACATGTAGCGTTGCAGTAGACATTCTGAGTGGATGGAGATACTGATCAGTAACCATGTAGGATTGAAGTAAACTCTGTGTCACAGTCTGTGGGTGTGCGGGTGCTGATAAATAGCCATGTGTCAAAATCTGTGAGAGCATAGATAAAATATTCATGTAGGATTGATATCGACCTTTTGTGACAATCTGTGGGGGTGCATATAAATAACCATGTAGCATTGCGGTAGATATTGTGCCACATTCTCTGTGGGTGGAGGTACTGATCAATAACCATGTAGGATAGAAGTAGGCTTTGTGCCAAAATCTGTGGTAGTGAGAGTGCCGATAGACATGTAGGATTGTCACAATATGAGGGAGTGCAGATTAATAACCATGTAAGATTGAAATACACTTCTTGTCATATTCTGGTTGTGTGGAGGTACTAAAGGCTCATTTAAATCCCTACAAAAAATAGTTCAAACAAATGTTTGAGGTAACATTTAATTTATAAGGGCACACAACAAAGAGAGATGACACGAGCGAAGTTTAAAAAACAGACGATAAATTTATTAACACGCAAAAATGAAAGAATTACACAAATTAAGTGCATTGTATGCCAAATGATGGCTAATAACATGTATGTAAAAATAATCACTGCAAATGAAATATGCTTCTTTTACAATAAAATTTACAATGCTACCTAAGTTCTACAGAAAAGGGAAACAACATAAAAATAAACGAAGAAAGGAGAAAAATACTTCTGAATAGTTTTCAAAGAATAGGTATAATTTTCGAAGCAAATTTTGTGGTAGCAACGAAAAAAAAAACAGAACAATTACATCAGGCGAAGAATTTTCTTTGATGTGGGAGTGAATTTGAAGCTCGTTTCAATTCTCGTGTGCTGGTTATCAAATTTCTTCTGTGTTCTTTTTCTTTCAGGACTGGGACGACCTGGGTTAGTCAAATCATCGAATTCAATTCCTGGCCCTCTATTTATTCATTCAGATCGGTTCCAGATTCAGTTCTAGGAATTTGGAGTGAAACCTGTTGATTGATTCCAAATGAAAAACAAATGCAGCTCTTTTCCCACAAATCGAAATGTACCAAAAATACTTTTGATATTCCAACAGAGTCTGTTTTCTCTCAGAAAAACATACGATACACGCTGAACCAGCTTAAATTTCATACATTACGGATCGATAACCATGTAGGTTTGAAGTAGACTTTATGTCACATTCTGTGTGCATGGAGGTACAGATCAATAACCATGTAGGATCGAAGTAGATTTAGTGTCCAAATCTCTGGGAGTAGGAGTGCAGATAGACATGTAGGACTGATCAAGAGTTTTGCAACAATCTTTGGGAGTTGGAGTGTAGATCAGCAGCTATGTATGATTCTGTGCGACTAAACGTAAGAATATATATCCATGTAGGATTTAAATATATAAATTCATTCCTCTAATTGGTTAAAGATTCATTGGGGTTGGTTTAAAATTAAGTCTAACACGCCATGTTTTTTTTGTTTTTTTTTGTACTGGACTTCTTTGAAAAACAAAACAGAAATAATTTTTATCATAATAAAAAGTGAATGTTTTAAGTTAAAAATTATTTGAAATTAATATTAATTAAAAAATCGAAATACCTACAGTGCAAATATCAGGGTGTAAATTTATAAATGCATATATATATATATATATATATGTTAACGAGTGAATGTAACAAGTGTACATAATTTCTAATAAAAGAAAAATTAATTTTTATCACAACCTATTAATATATGGAAGTGCCATGTGACGTAATTGGTTATCAGCTTTGGACATTGGATTCGCTAAAAGCTAGTTCGAGTTTCGTTTATGTTCACTTGGATATAATATATTTGTTGAAGGAATTGGTCGGTACATCTGAAGCTCTTTATCCTTGAAAAGACATTTCAGAAAAAATTACAGGAATCCCAAACCCGGATAGTGTGTTGGCCCTACACCGTAGTAAATATCAAGTAACAAGTAATAATTACAAAGGACCAGGTGAATAGCAAAAGTAAAGTAAGAAATAAAGAAAAAAAGAAAGAAAGAAAGAAAGAAAGAAAGAAAGAAAAAAAGAAAGAAAGAAAGAAAAAGAAAGAAAGAAAGAAAGAAAAGATAGATAGATAGATAGATAGATAGATAGATAGATAGATAGATAGAAATAGAAAAAAGAAATAAAGAAAGAAATAGAAAGAAAGAAAGAAAGAAAGAAAGAGATAGAAAGAAAGAAAAATGGAAAGAAAGAAAAATAAAAAAGAAAGAAAGAGATAGATAGATAGATAGATAGATAGATAGATAGATAGATAGATAGATAGAAAGAAACGAAAGAAAGAAAAATTGATAGAAAGAAAGAAAGAAAGAAAGAAAGAAATAGAAAGAAAGAAAAAAGAAAAAACGAAAGAAAGAAAAAACGAAAGAAAAAAGAAATGTATGACATGAAATGAGAGTAGTTGAAAGAAAGAAAAATAGTAAAAGACAGGTGGACAATGAAAGAAAGGTGGGTTGATTTTTTTAACTGCATATCAACATCTCTATGGGTTATTTAATGCCAAAATTTTGAACATAGTTTTATGCCTTCAACTACAAATAAAATGTATCGTTCGTAATTTTTTATATAAAAATGTATTACTGGTATTTTTATTATAAAAAAGAATTTTTATACTTTCATGGTGTTTGTGGGTTCAATATTTGCTTATAGCTAGGGACGCAACAGGTGCTACCATCTAGGGCCAGGGTGGGCCTGATAACAACAACAATTTAGAGGTGGTTCCAGACACCTGAAAACCTCCAATCTCCCAATCAGAAGCCTTTCTGCTGGATATTGTTAAGAAGGGAAGTCGGGGTGTAAAAGAAAGAAAAGAAGAAAGAACGAAAGAAAAAAAAGAAAGAAAGGAAGGATGAAAGGGTATGATTTGAAACGTTTTAGAGTAAAAGAAAAAAATATGAAAGGAAAAGTTGGCAGCAAAAAAGGAGAGAAAATGATATCAAAAGGAATTTTTTAAAGTTAAAGATAAAGAAACAAGAAAGGAAAAGAAAGAAAGAAAGAAAGAAAGAAAGAAAGAAATCGGCGAAGTAATTTAGAATAAAAAAGAAAGATATTTCCGAAGGAAATTACAGTAAAAGCAAGATATTTGTGAAAGAAATTAGCACAAAAGAAAGAAGATATTTCTGAAGAAAATTAGGTTAAAAGAAAGAAGGATATTTGTGAAGGAAATTAGCGTAAAAGAAAGAAGAATATTTTTGAAGGAAATTAGAAAGAAAGAAAGAAAGATATCTTTGAAGGAAATTACAATAAAAGGAAGAATGAAATTAAAGTAGACGTGAATGAGCATCGCGCCGATGTTTTCATACTGACTAGAAAGTTCCAAACTCGGTAAGTGTACGCATTTCAGACGGCACGTCACCATCTATCGTATAGCGTTGCTTTCGCTAAAATCGACACTTGTCTTCCAGATGTCAGGAGTCAGTCACTTCGATACGTCATGACACGATACGCCGATGGCCATCACGAAGTTGGTAAGCGAACACACAGACACATTTAAGCAGATGTAAAATTCAATAGTAGTGAATAAGCGTGTGGAAGGGCAGGAGCTGTAAATACACATCAAGTAACCCACAGGCCGATGTAACTCCATAGTGTCGGGTGAGGAGTTTAGTTCTATTTCTGGTACTGGGTTGGGTAGACGCATTGCAACATTCTTTCTTTTTCTTTTTTTTAATCGGAATCACAACATGCAAGGTAGTAATGCCGCTAAAACCCAAGAGGTTACAGAGTGTGGAAGAATTAGGAACAGAAACATTAATGATGAGCAGAAAGTGAAGAGTGGACAGTAGATAGCGATTGACACTGCATTTAAATTTTTGCAGATTAAAGTTGGTTGAAAAGCATGGCGCCTGAAGGGGTTTCCACAAGCAAGAAGTACGAAAGAAGAAACTGTTAACATAGAACTTGCGGCTACATCTAGCTACCTCAACTGTAAATTGATGAGATCTCGACGCCAGTCTAGGACTACGCTTAAATTCAAAAGCTCTAGGTACCATAACTCATTCAAACAATTACCATGAAAATATTAATAAAAAAAAGACATAGAACGGAAACCTTACGGCGATGGGAAGGTGACTAGAGCTGAGCCGCCAGATCTGGACTAACGATATTGCAGATTTTTTTTTGATCTTATCAAGGAGCTTTAGGTAAACAGCAAGGGCCCCCGACCATATGTGGCACCAATTTTCTAAGCATGGGCGAATAGTAGACTTATAGATATGCAATCCGTTCATATTCACGAATAACCTTCCGTGTATTGCTATTAAAGGATGAGAGAAATGTGCTATAGCTGTTTAAATTTCTTTTATTTTCATTTCCCAAGTACTTTCGATCTTCTTCCAAGATCATCTTCAGGGGTGCAAGTAGTACAAAACTTTATGTTGTTCATTAGTACAAGTATTTATACAAAGGTGTGCGTTGTTATCCATTATCGTCATTTTTTCATTATGCTTTTAAATCGAAAATGGTTGACAACGTGCTGAGCGTTCATATACTTTGTATAAATAGGGTTTGCTGGCCATGTTCAGACAGTTGATCACGCTGGATAACACGCTCTCTCCCAAAAATTGTAACTAATGTCTGCTCAGCATAGTTGCAGTATAAACAACAGGTTGGTTTTGTGGGTGTTGAACAAACACAAATGAGCCTGAGCAAGTGTCTGCAATAGAGATTGGCTCGCCGCTCTAATAAACGGTTATCCTCGAATACGAGTGACCAGCTATTATATATATATATATATATATGAACATAAGCTAAATAACGAGATATTAGTAACTATATATGCATGTGATAACATACTGATGTAATGAATATGCATACAACTGTGTCCCCCCTCACAGGAATATGATTAACTGGTGTCAGGCATAAATACAGGCTGATGTATAGGTACAGCCGACGCCTATTAAACTACGCCATTGGCTGTCCTATTGGTCTACACCTGTTGCCTACACCTATTGACTGCGACTACGACGAATACCAGTTCCATTACTGCTACCTGTTAGATTGTTCTACTCAGTTGGATCTCATCCTCGTCGTCAACTGATATATCCCGGAAAGGGATATATTTGATCGAAGTAGCTAAGTGGTTTAGGCTAATGTAACCGAGTAAGACAATCTAGCAGGTAACAGTAATGGAACTGGTACTCGTCGTAGTCGCAGTCAATAGGTGTAGGCAATAGGCGTAGACCAATGGGACAGCCAATGGCGTAGTCCAATGGGCGTCCTATAGGCGTTGTCTGTACCTGTACATCAGCATGTATTTATGGCTGACACCAGCCAATCATATTCCTGTGAGGGGGAACACAGGTGTATGCATATTCATTACATCATATACATAAACAGATGAGCAAATAAATATTTAATTTAAGGTGTAAACAAAAGTGCTCATTGTAGTTAAACAGAGTTATAAAGTATATACTAATAAATACACATATACCTACGTTTGTAGTGCAACTCAGAGTTTTATGGTTACCCAATTCATCAGGCGCAAATAGAATTAATATAAGTAAGATTTTGTCACTTAGCTGATTGATATTACCTTCTGCATCTTGACTCAAGACTTCGTCCAGCATTCACAGTCCTATAGGAAGATTGATATTATATAAATACATATTGCATAACAGTTCAGTAATCTTTTCTATGTTTCTAACGGAATTTCCCCTTATGTGCCTTTAGATTTTGGTGTCGTATATTCCGTCCGGTGTTTAAAACAATAGATATTTAAATGTTTGTATTTGCTTGATATTCTTTCTTTTTATGCGCCATGTCCTTTCAGGACGTAGGCGATCATGGCTCTCTACCTTCCTCTATCCCTTGCAGCTCTCCGCAAGTTCCTCTCCTCTGCTTCCTCCCCCAGACCACGTTCTGTCATCCACTTCCTTAAGCCCTCCAGGTATATCACGCGTTGTTTTCCCTTGTCTCTCTTTTCCTCTATTCGACCCGTGAGTATCAGATTCTCCAGGCTCTCCATCCTCATTATGTGTCCCAGAAACTTCAGCTGCCTCCTCCTGATGTTAAGTATAAGCCTCCTCCTTGTTTGAAACCTTTCTAAGACCTCATCATTGCTCATGATATGCTTAGCAGCCTTCTGTAGAACCACATCTCTGTCGCCGCGAGTCTCTTCTTCATCTTTGAGGAAATCGCCCAACATTCGCTGCCGTAAAGGAGGACAGATGTCATGTAACAGTTCAGTATTCTTTTCTTTTCTTTATTGGTGTCTCCAATTTGTTGTTCGTTTTATGTCGTTCCTTTTGCTGATAGTTATATAATTCATCTTCTCACAAATTTACCTCATCCCTTTCTTTTCGTTTTTCTCTACAACATTCTGTACGTGTTCCTGTAGTTTGTTTTTTTCTTTGTCTGCTATCAACGCGGTGCCATCACTATATCATAAGTTTCTGGCCGCCAATAAGGAATACTGTCATGATTTCAGGATCGTCTCGCTATAAAGTTTGAAAAGGTCTGGTGAGAAGATACACCCTTGTCTTCTCTGTTAGCATACCATGGAAGCAGCATGTAAACAACAGGAAATTTCAAGGTGAATGGAAACAAAATGGACTATTATGCATGAAATCACAAGTGACAGTTGAAAAAAGAAGACCTGGAAATTTTAACACTCACAAGACATATTGAAACCAAGTGTGACAGAGGAAGACGACGATAAACCTACCCAACGAGGTTATGTAAATGGATAGCAGAATTGGAAGGGGTAAAGGAAGTTGTGCAGAGCCATGTTTGTTCACGTCCTGAAGTCAAATGACAGATACAGGAAGAAGAATAAAATGATGATGATGATGATGATGATGATGATGATGATGATGATGATGATGCCAGTGAAAGTAATGATTATCCTGGGATTGGATAACGATGTATCTTACGAGAAAGTTCTTTATTCTGGTTCTTGGACAGTAACACGGGAAATTCTTTAAAAAGAGTTAAAGGCAGTGAAAGTAAGTTTACTCGTGGAACGGATGACTAAGAATCTTTCTTTGTCTTAGGAATTCTTACTCTGTCAGTGAATCAGGTAGGGATTCAAGACAATTCATTGATAAAGGTATTAAAAGCAGTTTTTTCTCTGAAACTGCTGACGTCATATTCCCCCGATAGGAAGTCATGTAAAACAGTGCTACTCAAAGTGCCGGTACGCGGAGTGTTTCCAGGAAACAAAGAAACAGTAGTCACATTCCAATCTACGGAAGGCTGTCGGGATATCTGACATGATTTTATTTTAATATTTCTATTTTAGTTTTATATTTATTCTGGGTAAATTTTTCAATTACTCACTCATGTTAAATATCAATACAACTAACGAATGCGATATAATAAAGAGAAAAACAGTGAAGTAAAATACGTATGCCAACAACATCATCATAATATGGCGATTGACTGTGTGGGAACTACACCTAGGAATATGAAAATAGTATTATCCTAGACATATTTCGACAAAATCAATATAAAATTTTTTAAAAATATGCAACTTTTATTATATCCCTTATGTATTTCTGGTATAAATGAATAATACTACAAATTTTCACATAGTATTTTCTCGGGCCGTTATTATACAATTATGTAGCACAAATATGACGATGATGTTATTTTGGTTATTTTTAAGTTTAGCATTTCAAACGATTTCTGTTTACCACACACTACATTTAGCTTTCTTATTTCCCTTTTTATTTGATAAGTGTCTCTGCGTGGGTAATATTTGGTTCTTACTAGGGAGATTCTTACTTTGTGCCCTAGTGCAACTCAAAGTGTGGCACGCGTACAGGTGCCGGTACGCGAGGCATTATCTGCCGGTGCGCGGAGTGTTTCCAGGAAACAAAGAAACAGTAGTCAAATTTCACTCTACGGAAGACTGTCGGGATATCTGACTCGATTTGATTTTTAATATTTCCATTTTAGTTTTACATTTTTTAATTACTCATGTTAAATGTCATTGAAATACAACTAACGAATGCGATATAATGAACAGAAAAACAGTGAAGTAAAATACGTATGCCAACAACATCATCATAATATGGCGATTGACTGTGTGAGAACTACACATAGGAATATGAAAATGCCATTATTATGGATATATTTCGACAAAATCAGTATAAAATAAAAACAAATATACAACTTTTATTATATCCCTCATGTATTTCTGGTATAAATGAATAATACTACTATTGTTCAAATAGTATTTTATCATGTCTTAGAATGAATATGACACCATGTCCTCATGTTTAGTAAAGATAATCTCAAAATGGTTCACTTACATAACGTATCTCAAAAAACATTTTTCAGCGGGAAGTGCCCTCCAACCTCATCCCCAGCCTGATTAAAAAACTTCGATCACCGGTCACTAACACGTTGAAAAAGAAAACTGCTAAATCTGATAGTTTGAGAAGAACTGATGTAAAATATCCTGCTACGAAGCGGTTAAACAGAGGAGGAAAAAGAAAAAAAAAACATCAATAATAGAAGAGCTACTGTCACTAAATGGAAAGCAATGAGACTTGAAGCTGATTCGTCAGTTAGTAGAGTAAATCAATAACAGGGAGAAATCAAGTCAGCTTAAGCAAATTAAAAGGTGTACAGAATTATTTATCAAGTGAAAAATAGTAAGTTTGCTGAATTCATTTTCATTATTAATATAAATATTGGAAGATCTTTTGAATGTTTCTCTCATGACCAGAGTAGGAAATTCAATAGGATTTAGCATAATGACAAAAAGAATTTTAGAAAATAGACGTCGTGCTAAAAATGTTGTTTATACAAAGATTTTAGAGAAATAAGAGAAATTTCTATGACAATTTATGTGCCTGTAGGACGAGTATTCGACTAGCAGATAAAAAAATAAATAGCAGTTTTTTTTTATCTATCTATCAATCGATCGATCTATCTGTTATAGTCTAGAGGCTTGCTTATCTGTTTATCTATTATTGTCTAGTTTATCTATCTATCATCTATCTTGATATGTTCATTATCTATCTATCAGTCTAACTGTTATAGTCTAAAGGCTTGTTTATCTGTTTATCTATCTATTATAGTCTAGAAACCTGTTTATCTATATCAGTATGTTCATCTATCTATTTATTATACGCTAGAGACTTGTTTATCTATCTGTTTATTATACTCTACCTAAAGGCGTGTTTATGTATATATCTATTATACTCTAAAGTCTTGTTTATCTATTATACTCTAGAGTCTTGTTTATCTATCTATCTATCTATCTATCTATCTATCTATCTATTATAGTCTAGAGACCTGTATATCTATCTATCTAGCTATTTATCTATCTATTTTGATATCTATGTATATACCTAGGTACCGCCACGAGATAGCTAAAAAAAGAGCTTAGCATGATGAAAAAGACGCCAACCTTGCCGAAAACAAAATTTTATCGTCTAAATGTTTATGTTATTATTAAGAGGAAAGATCAAAGTATTTTGGGGTATTTTTTTTACATTTTTAATCCGTCCTAGCACGTTCGAAATTTTCGTTAAAAATCTTGTTGTTTTTTTTTGAGTCAGCAAAATTGACCATTTTTTACCATTTTATAAAATAAACTGGAAATCTCACTTTGAAATTCTTTTAAATATCAATTATCATTTTTTCAAAACTTATTTTAAGAAAATCAGAAATTATAATGTTTATTTAAAATATTTTGAACCAAGCTTAACTTAGCTTCTGCGCCGAAAAGATGTAATTTGAAAATAAAACAAAGCAGATCATAAACTTTCACGTCACTTGACAGGTGATGAATGACATATTGACGGATTCGGTGAGGCTAATTTGTTCTACGGAAGGAGAAAAGTGAAATAATTTACATTTAAGTGAACAAATTATTAACCTCGTTATTTTTAAGGAAAACTTTCAGCGCTTTTTTTGTTTTTTGTACTTAGCTTTCACCTTTAGGTTTACGATGCTTTATGGAAATATATTGTAAAGAAATTAAAATAAGACTGTTAAGAGTGACATTAAATTTCATATTTCATAAGAAAGATATCTAATTAATTTTTATAGGTACCTTTCTTATGAAATTTTATCAGAAGTGTACATAAAATACTATAATTTTATGTACATTTATTACATTTTACTGTGTTATTTGTATTTCCATTCATTTTATTATTAATTTTGATATTTCATTTATGGAAAAATGTCATAACTGAGATTAATATAAAAATAAGATCATATAAATTTCATAAGATGATACTGATACTTGTAGGTACCCTTCTCAGTTGAAATTGAAAAATCAAATTAACTTCTCCACACGTGTTTCGCAAAAATAAACGCCTTAACAGCGGAGAACAATGCTTAACTGAAATAACGCACCTTAATTGTATTCTGGTTGATCTTCCGTACTTTATAATTACAGCCCGATTATAAACACAAAATTATATTTCTTAATTACTGCGGATCTTCTGATTAGTCAAAATGATACAATTTACAACGCGCTAAAAAAGATCTATCTCATATGGAAACTTAGGAAACCTGATGCGGCTTTTAGCTAATTTTATAATATTTTAAAAAATTAAATGTAAAAATCTATTAAAATTAAGAAATAACAAATAATTGTATTAAAAATTCAATTTTCATCGAAAAAATTTTTTACATTCAGAAAATGTTGTCCATATTCATAAAAACAATTAAAAGCAAATAAAAGCATTTGAAATTAAATAATATCTTTGTTTTATTGAGTTTTGTATGTTACAATTCAGAGTTGATTTTCAGGTAGGGGAGGTCCAATTAAAAACAAAAAAAAACATGATTTGCATTCCTCAAAGCCTTGTGCTTTTAATTATTGTAATCACTAAAGTGGACTTGATCAAATTTCTAGAGTTTTCATAAAATTAGTTAGGGGGGGGTAATAAATATAAAAAAGTAGTTCTGCCATAACTTTAATAAAAAAAAAACATATTTATAATAATTTCGATCATCTGTGAATAGTTTCTGAAAGTTTCATTAACATTTGACAATTATTTATATTTTTGCAAGATTTTCCAAATTAATGTGTGTCATACCAAAAACGTGCTAAAAATTGTCTATGTTATTTACTAGTTCCGCTGATACAAAGAGAAACAAAGTTTTTTTAATCAAAATTTAGAATGTTCTAAAAAGAAGGAAAAAACTTTTAAAAATAATTTAAAAAAATCTTTGGTGTTTCCTCTTAATAATAACATAAGCATTTAGACGATAAAATTTTGTTTTCAGCAAGGTTGGCGTCTTTTTCATCAAGCTATGCTCTTTTTTTAGCGATTTCGTGGAAGTACCTATACCTTTCCATCTATCCATCTATTATAGTCTAGAGGTTTGTTTATCTATCTATTAATGTCTCTAGAGACTTATTTATCTATCTATAATTTTAAGTTCGACAACATTACATACGATTTCCTGTAGCGTTCGTGGTATTGTTGTCGTCTGTACCGTATTATTTAAAAAGGTGAAAAAATAGTAAGTTTGATGAATAAATTATTATTATTAATCTTAATAATAATAATAATAATAATAATAGGAAGAATTCGAAATTAATCAAATGTTTTCTATCATGAACAGCTCTATACAGCTATGTCCAGAGTAGAAAATTCAATTTGGCTTAACGTAATGACGAAATGCTCTTTAGAAAACAGATCTCTTGCAGAAAACGTTGTTTATACAGATATTTTATGGAGTTAAAGAGAACTTTATCTTTATCTATCTATCTATCTATCTATCTATCTATCTATCTCCTTCCTTTTCATATCTATCTATCTATCTATCTATCTATCTATCTATCTCTTTCCTTTACATATCTATCTATCTCCTTCCTTTTCATATCTATCTATCTATCTATCTATCTATCTATCTATCTATCTATCTCCTTCCTTTTCATATCTATCTATCTCCTTCCTTTTCATATCTATCTATCTATCTATCTATCTATCTATCTATCTATCTCTTTCCTTTTCATATCTATCTATCTCCTTCCTTTTCATATCTATCTATCTATCTATCTATCTCCTTCCTTTTCATATCTATCTATCTATCTATCTATCTCCTTCCTTTTCATATCTATCTATCTATCTCCTTCCTTTTCATATCTATCTATCTATCTATCTATCTATCTATCTATCTATCTATCTATCTATCTATCTATCTATCTACACTCAACGACGAATTTATTCGTACAGCCATCAATTTTGAATATATTTATCCATTTCCCAGAAACTAATGCCTGTATTGTGCCAGATTTTTTATATATTAATAAGCACAAAAATGGAGTATAAAACTAAATTTTCAGAACAATAGATTAAACACAACAAATTCAAGAGGCGAATTATGCAAAATAGAAAAAGACAAAATTATTCGTACTGTATGAAAAATAGAAAAAAATTGAACAATTTTCATAATTTTAATGGTCGATAGCATGTCTTCTCATGTTCATAACTTCATGCAATCGTTTTCTAAAGTTTTTGATAAGATTTGAACAAATTTTTCTAGGATTTTCTTCCATTCTTCAATGGTTACACATCTAATTCCTGAAGGTTTTTGGCGACCGACGAATTATTCGAACTTTCTCTGCTTGCCATAGATTTTCAATACGATTCAAATCAGGACTAATAGTTCCATGACAGAACTGTAATCGTCTTTATTCAGAAGTCACGCAGTCACTGATTTAGACGTATGTTTGGGATCATTATCTTGCTGGAAAGTAAATCACCGACCTAGATGAAGATTTTGCGCTGATAGCTGTAGATTTTCATCCAGAATTTTAATATAGTCTGCAGATTTCCTTATTCCTCTTATTGCAATTAATTGTCCAGTCCCCCTTGAACTAAAACAACCCTAAAACATCATCGAGCCGCCTTCATGTTTTAATGTTGCCACTGTGTTCTTTGGGAGGAAAGCCTCACCTTTCTTGCACCAAATCTTCTGTACATCATTATGCCCAAAAGCTCAATTTTGTTTCATCACTCTATAATCCTTTCTCCAAGAACATTTTGGCAAAATTAAACCTAGGAACAATGTGATATTGTTTGTGAAGAGGGGTTCGTCGTGGCCGGTTTCCATACAATTCATTTCTATTTAAACAATGTTGTATTGTGCTGATATCCATCACTCCCAATCTTTTGGCAATGTCTTTCAAAACATCTCTTGGGTTTATATTAACTTCGCGACACAGTTTTCGTGCCGTTCTCGGTGACAACTTGGGATTTCTTCCACACCCAGGCAAATTCTCTGTTGTGCCAAACTGTTTAAACTTCTTTATAACAGATTGTAAGGATAACTAACCGGTTTGAAATAGTGCTGTAACTATTTCTCGACTTGTGGGTGTTAATAATTCTCTGTCTCAAGTCAACGTTAAGTTCTTTTGTCTTCCCCATCGTGTTTTTGATGTAAGAATAACAACGATGACACTGTATGCACCACGTGATGTTCTTTGCTGGAATTATCACAAATATTCTATTGAATAAATAGTCTAGAAGGCTTCACCGATAAAATAATTATATAAATTACTTATACCCACACGAATCAATCAATTTAAAACGATATTTTCTACTTTTTGCCTTTTCCTATTTTGTATAATTCGCCTGTAAAATTTGTTGTATTTAAACTATTGTTCTGAAATTGAATTTTATATTCTTTTAGTGCTTATTAACATATAAAAACTTGGCATCATACGGGCATTACAAATATTCAAAATTGATGGGTATACAAATAATTTCGTCGTTGACTCTATCTATCTATTACGGTCTAGAGGTTTGCTTATCTCTCTATTTCAACTGTTTCTCTATATGTGGCTATATAAGAAATTCAAATGGACTTAACATATTGATAAAAGGAACTTTACAAAATAGATGTCTTGCTGAAAATATTTATACAAAGATTTTCGGGAGTTAAGGAGACAGTCTATTTAAATTTTATTTTTCTCTGTTCGTTGGTTAATCAAATAAGCATTCGTATCGACCTTTTGTAATAGAAAAATATTTTAGCTGAAAGGATGGACAACAGAAGCTGCGGAAATACTTTAATGATTGAGTAATGACTCTACAAATATTGAAGAATGAAACACTTTGTTCAAAAAATACGAGACCTTGTTTGCATTTCTTTCTTTCTATCTATCTATCTATACTACTTTTCATATCTATCTATACCACTTTTCATATCTATCTATCTATCTAATTCTGTTCATATCTATCTCATTCTTTTCATATCTATCTATCTATCTATCTAATTCTGTTCATATCTATCTCATTCTTTTCATATCTATCTATCTATCTATCTATCTAATTCTGTTCATATCTATCTCATTCTTTTCATATCTATCTATCTATCTATCTATCTATCTATCTATCTAATTCTGTTCATATCTATCTCATTCTTTTCATATCTATCTATCTATCTATCTATCTAATTCTGTTCATATCTATCTCATTCTTTTCATATCTATCTATCTATCTATCTATCTATCTATCTAATTCTGTTCATATCTATCCCATTCTTTTCATATCTGTCTGTCTGTCTATCTATCTCGTTCCGTTCATGACTCTACAAATATTAAAGAATGAAGCACTTTGTCCAAAAATACGACACCTTGTTTGCACTTCTTTTTCTTCTACATGCCGCTTCCCTTCACAAAATAGGGATCATGGCTCTCCACAACTTCTTATCTCGTGTAGCACTTAGCAGTTATTCTCCCTTTTCAAATGCAGCCACCCCACGTTCCGACATGCATTTACCCAAGCTCGTCAAGTAAGTGGTTCTCTGGCTTCCCCTATCGCTCTTACCTTTAATATGCCAAGTGAGCATTAAATTTTCGAAGCCCTCCTTCCTCATTATGTGTCCAAATAATCTCAGCTGTCTTTTCCTGATTCTGACTATAAGTTTTCTTTCTTTTACCATTTTCTTTAAGACTTCCTTGTTGCTTACTCGCTCTGTTGATGGCGCCATCTGGATAAACCATATTTCTGCTGCCTCTAGTTTTTTGTTTTTTTTTACTTCATCCGTGGGGATATTGTCCAGCATTCACTGCCATATCAGAGGACGAATATCATATCGCAATCCAGCATTCTTTCTTTGATTCTAACGATATTTTTTTCGTTTCTCCTCGCCATGCCTAGTTTTTAGAATGCTTCTGTCGCTGCTTGCTGACATCACTCTATAACTGACTGATTTTTAGATCACTCCAAACAACATTTATTTCGTATGGTGAACCCCTTTGAAGAAATATCTCGCCAGCAGTACCATTATTATTTTTAATGCCATCATCATTATCAATTAGATTCAGTACCAGAGTAAGAAGTGCTAAGAAACATTTTCACGAGATATCCTGTCAACTTCTCTAAGACAACTACTTTCACTGCCTTCATCATCTGTCTTGAATCACTGCCAGAGAGAGAGAGAACAAAAATATTTCTTGCGATATAGCTTGTCAGCTAATCAAAACGGATTAACTTAAATCCTTTTGTCCTATCGTGAGTGAGCTTGACAGCCGAGGCTCTGTTCTTCTTTACAGTACGTATTCTTAGGATGGATATCAATGTATATTCCTCTTAATATAGATACACACAAATGAAAATTACTGAACACTTTTAACGCTTTCTGTGGTTAAAAAAGTAAAACCTAACAGTCTTTGCCTGACAAATCAAAGATCTAGGAGGACGTTTGTCAAGAAAAGTCAAATAACTATTCCTTGGTTCCATTTCTTTAAGTTGGCTTCCATCAGTTTTAAAAATCGCAGTAATTGCTTTTTCGCAATTTCGCCAAATGGTGTCAATGCTACTCGCAGTAAGCTATTATTTCGGGCTTGCCGCAGAATTTTTACATAGAATTGATTAAAAATGACATAGTATTTAATTAACTAAAGCATTCACTCAAAAAAATAATATGTTTATCTACATTATAATATAATTCCAGCAAAGAACATCACGTGGTGCATGAATTGGATAAAACATCCCTTCAAAAATCTTCTTTCTTTTTTCTTTCTTTTCTTTTTATATATATATCTCTTCATCTCCCTCTTTTTAATTTTTTTTATCTCTCTCTTTCTATCACTCCTTCTCTTTTTCTCTTTTTTACACTCTCTTTTTTCCACTCTCGGCTTTTTACTCTCTCGTACTATCTCTCCCACTCGGTCTTTTTCTCTTTCTTTCTTTCTTTCTTTCTTTCTATCTATATATATATATATATATAATTCATATCTCATATTCTATAAATAGTTACAAATAATTATTATATTTAATTACATAAGATTTTCTGTATACACATTCTTATCAATAACGAAAAAACTGTTTATATAAAATCGATTTAATACATATAATCAAACAATTTCAGAGTAGATTAAGTCATGCAACAACTTCCTTAGAAGAAGAATGAATTTGAAATAAATTGATGCGAAAAATGTAACGTCTTATTAATGATATATGATATCTGTTAATAGATTTATTTGTATTATCTAACCTTCTGATGAGCGGATTAAATCTGCGAAATCCGGAGTTTTAGTTTGGTCATATCTATCTATCTATCTATCTATCTATCTATCTATCTATCTCAGTTTATTTATAACTGTCTATCTATCTCAGTTTGCTCATATCTATCTATCTATCTATCTATCTATCTATCTATCTATCTATCTATCTATCTATCTATCTATCTTAGTCTATTCATTATCTATCTATCTATGTATCTATCTATCTATCTATCTCAGTTTATTTATAACTGTCTATTTATCTCAGTTTATTTATAACTATCTATCTCAGTTTGCTCATATCTATCTATCTATCTATCTATCTATCTTAGTCTATTCACTATCTATCTATCTATCTATCTATTTCAGTTTATTTATAACTGTCTATCTATCTCAGTTTGCACATATCTATCTATCTATCTATCTATCTATTTATCTATCTTCAATTTCTGGTTGTATTCACGATCTAGGACGGGCATCTGCACTTATAGATATACCAAAATTTAACTTTTACTCCTTATCTATCTACCGAGGAAAGATAGCACCTGAGTCTATTTATTTTGTTTATTAATGATACCTGAGATCTAACTTTATTGAATCAAAGCGAACAAATTGCATTCAATCACCCCCCAACACACACACACAGTGATATATAGCATTATTTTTTAACCAAATCTTTTATCTATATAAATTCATTTATATACTATCGTTTACCCAGTACAAAGCCTAAAAGATCTTCAAGGTTACTGAATGAAGTTGTTGTAAGGATAAAAAGGGAGCAAGTAAGAAGTGCATATTATGAGGATATGTAGGATAGATAACGGTTGACTCTAAATTTGAAGAAGTTAAGGTTATAGTGTTCGAGCAAGCATCTTTTTGAGAGTCTCCTCCACAACGTAACAGTACTGAGGAAGGAACTGTCTCAGTGGATCTTCTTCCTTATCATTGGAATATGAAAAATTCCAAATACTGCTATAAACCACAAAAGTGAACGAGAACGTTATAACTTGAAACAGTTCAAGGTCAACCTGTGCTAAGCAGATTCCATTTGTACTACAACTCCGTTATCAGAGAAGGAGTCACGACACTTTTCTTGATCAGACCTCGTATATCTTCAATTTGTAGTAACCACTCACCAATGAGTAATTCATGGAGTAAAACAATGATCGTATGAAAATAGCAGTTTTTAAAGAATATTCCATATGAAGAAAAACTCTTAATGTCGTCTCCAGAGTTGTTTGCTCAGTCGTATTTTCAACATTAGCACAGGTAATGATATGTAGCAAAACCGCTAATCGCCATCTTTATTAAGAAAAATGTCTTCTCTATCAATCAAGCCAACGTATCCGTAATAAATAATCTTTTTTTCAAAATTAATCAAACTAAAAGAATATTAAGCTAAGATATAAAAAGCTACCCTTTGGCTTTAACTACGTTTTTTCTTCGTTTATATGAAATCTATTTTTCATCGCCTCTGACTAGCTTTGCTAAAAATTACTTTTTGTATATTAAGCAAGAAGAGAAAGACAAATGCCTTTTTTTTTTGTAAGTTCAAGCGATATCCGTTTCTATATCTTCTAAATATTCCCTAAAACTTATCATCACTTTTCTACAGTCGCAAGAGTCTTCGTTCTTCGGTGTTTGTAAACAGCAGCTCTTCACCACACCAACATTCCAACCAAAACCTCCGTAAGCAATAACGAATACATTTCAAAGACACATCTGGGAGTGGGCAAATGATAGCGGTAAAAACGTGTTTGCAACCAACTCACTTGTAGCTACGCTCTATGAGACTGACTTGCCCATTACTACTTCACAACGGGGCACAGATGTCCATGTTTATCAACATAATTTCAAATCGCACAAGACCACATATGAGGGATGCACGATGTGGATCCTGCTTATTACAGATGTAATAATCTGCAAGACTTGCTTAGTAGCGACCATAGAACTTTACCCTTCACTGTTCATATCTGTAATTAAATTGAATTAATTTATTAGATTTCGACATTAATGCGGATTTTACAAGAAAGTAAAATCTACAATTAGTAGCTGGTCGGGATCCGGTAACTTTTGTCGCGACTTCTTACCACACCTACACCCTTGTGCAAATTAATTGAAACAATCGCTTTAGTTTCCTTTCTTTCGCCATACCATCAGTTGAAGACCCACTGTAGTGACAAGGCGTAATCAATTTTTATGTTTTCCTCAGATTAGGTTATTTGCAGTGGTGTGCAGTAATATGAATCTATTTTCGGGGTGTACGATGAAATTTGTTTGGCCTTGAAAAATGTTGCGTCGTCCGTGATTGCATTAGATTTTCATCACACCCAGACACTATTGTCTTGACTGTTGATTAGTTGTCCTACGGCCATTATCTGCGACAGAGATAACTCCAAGGACGCGTACCAAAATTGAAACGCTGCACAAAAACAATGACAAGACTTACCAGTGAGCAAATCAAAGTACTATCGACCGGCTCAGAAACACTCCTGATTTAAATCCAATCGAGAATCTGTTGTTGGTCAATCTGCGAGGAACGACTTCGTGAAATGGACATACGAAGTACTAATGTCATGTATCAATGGAAAAATAAGAAAAAAAGTAAATAATAGAGGAATTATTCGTTTTGTTTCAATTAATTTGCACAATGGTGTATACAGAATTAAAGCAAGTAATGCCTTTTTTGGAAATTGTTAATATACTATTTGCAATATCGACAGTTATCGTGGTCTTTCTCTTGTATATATTTAAGAATTTAATTTGTTTTTGCTGATCGATTCCCTTGATCGTGCAGGTTCAAGACTAGAAGCTTCTAGTTTTACAAAAACCTGCTTCCGTCATCCATTCTCTATCGCCGTTTGGCCTTGCAGGATATGGTTGGGGGTAAAA